GATTTTTGTTGTTTAACTTATATTAAATATATATATATGTATATATATAGGAAAAGTATATAAAAATACAAAATAGATCAATTAAATATATATAATTTATTTATATTTATTTGATATATTTATTTATATTTAATTGATATATTTTGTATGTTTATATAAATATAAATATAAATATCTATAATTTATTTACTTATTTTACATATATATAATTTATTTATATTTTTTTAACATATTGATTTATATATATTAGATATATTTATTTATTTTTCATCGATTTATTTGTATATATATATATATATATATCATTTTCCTGCATTTAAATTCAAAAACTATTTATATTTATGTGATATATTTATTTATATTTAATTGATATATTTTGTATGTTTATATATTATATATATATTATATATATTAATAGGTTTATAGATTAGAATTCAAATGATTTTTGTATAAATTATATTTATGTGATATATTTGCTTGATAAATTTATTTATATTTAATTGATAAATTTATTTATATTTACTTGATATATATATTTATATTTATTGATATTTATTTGATATATTTATTTATATTTATGTATTTCTTATTTTTGTATCTTTTTCCTGGCTTAAGTAAGCATTTAAATCTTAAATAACCATAAATAGGTTTATAAATTAGAATTACTTATATACTTATATATATATACAAATACTATTTATTATTTTATTATTATCAAATGATTTTTGTATAAATTATATTTATGTAATATATATATTAATATTGATAAATTTATTTATATTTAATTGATATATTTACTTATATTTATTTGATATATTTATTTAAATTTAATTGATATATTTATTTAAATTTAATTAATATATTTATTTATATTTATTTGATAAATTTATTTATATTTAACATTTATTTATATTTACTATATATATTCAATTATATTTATGTTATGTATTTATTTATATTTATTTAATAAATTTATTTATCCTTATTTCATGTATTTCTTGTGTTTGTATATATTTCCTGGCTTAAGTAAGCGTTTAAATATTTAATAATCATAAATAGGTTTATAGATTAGAATTGCTTTATTTATATTTATTATTATCTAAAGATTTTTATATAAATTATATTTATGTGATATATATATTTATATATATTTAATTCATTTATTTATATTTATTTTATGTATTTCATATTTTTGTATATTTTTCGTGGCTTGAGTAATTAAAAACGGCATATAAGTATTTAAAAACCATAAATAGGTTTAATAAATTAGAGTTGCTTGTATTAATTTATATTTATTATTTACTTTACATTATTTGCTGAAAGCTTAATTTTAATTAATAGAATTTTAGTGGCAACATACAAATATATATCATTTAAAGGAAAAATCTTAAAGAATCTGTTTCACATTTTTCCCAAGTTAAGTAATTAAAATCTTGAACTATATTATTATAAAACTATTTTTTCTTAAGACTTTAAGGCAGAAAAATAAGTTTTTGTATTGACTTTAAAGCTCTTTAAATATTAAACAGGTTTAAATTTAATTTAAATTAACGAGACTTCACTTAAATCATATTCTAAATTAACAAATATTTTTTGTTTATTATTTTTGTTTGGCTTTTCTGGCTAGCCTTTTTTGAGCTAGAACCTTAACTTTAATTACAAAACTCAAATATATATTTTGAAATATTTTCTAAAAAATGTAAGTTATTATTTTCAAATTCCTGCTAGTACAGGCTTCACTGTACAGTGAGCCACCTCGGCCGCTTTGCATTTTGTGGGCGATATCATGTTGGATTAAAAAGACGGCGATGCTGCTGCCTGCCTGGCCATCGTATCCTTCACGTCCTTCATCCGGCTGCCCTGGAAATTAATTTCGTGCACATGTCCTGCAGCCTTTTTGTGGCAAACTTTGTTTGGCGCTCTCACACAGATACAGAGTGATATTGGTCCTGGTCCTGGTCCTGGTCCTGGGCCACTTGACCAAATCGCCACAGCCTCTCACGTGTTGACCGCAAATGTTAAAGCGGCGTGACTTTATTCGATTATATGGCGGGGGAGGGGGGGGTTGGTTACGTAAAAACATTAGATCCGGATACGGATCCGTTTTAGCATAACACCATTGTTGCCACGAAATGAAATTAAAACCAGCTCCAGGATAATGTACTCAGCGAAAGCTTAGGTGAGCTTGGAAAAATTGTTTAAGAAATTAGAATAAAATAGGAGAAGAAAGTGTAAGGGATTAGGGTGTTAATTAAAGTTAATTCAAGTTAATAAATATCCCAAAATCACTCTAGTTTAATATATATCCAATTAGTTAACTTTATTTTCCTTTAGTTACCCATTTTTCTACTTTAGAAATCATGTATTTTTTTGCAGTGCCTGAAACCCTCCTCTCGCTGACAGATATCGAGTTGACGAACAAGTTTCGGGACAAGTCCTGGAGATTAATTTGCTCCTTGAGGTCCTTGGGGATGGGGACTGAAGCCAAAAACACCCCTCGGCTGTTGTTTGACAACTCGTTCGTCATCATGCGAGAGAGCGCGGCATAATCGTTAAAAGAGTCTGCAAAAATGTCCATAAATGCCGATTAAATCTTTATTTTCCGCCTTGACGCACGCAGCTCGCGAATAACTTGAAATCCCTGATGAGGGTTGTCCTTTTCGGTTTGCTCGGTTATTTGGTTATTTTGGTATATAGGAATATAGGGATATATATATATTTGGTTTTTGAAAAAAACCCCGTTTGTTTGACTGTTGACAGACGTGTGACAGCGGCGTGAGGCGCGCGATCGTGCAACCTGATGATTTAATAACTCGCCCAGGATTCAGGATTAGGAATGCGACCCCCTCCCTCCATCCCTTTCATTTTTCTCACAGGACAATGACCGAAAGGATGGCAAGGGGTGCTGCTAATGGCCAGGCAAACAGTGTTGTAAGAAAAGGTTTTGCCTGGGTACAGGAATCAGGATTAGGTACAAAAAGAAGGATTTAATACTACAAATAATAAGGAAAGTATACATTAAAAATATTTAATAAAATAAATATATATAAAAATTAAATAAAATAAATATAAATCAGTTCTTAAAGTATATTTTAAACACTTGATTTAGGCAAATCTAAAAGAAAACCTTTTTATAGGACCTCTTAAAATAAGAACAGGAGTTGTAACAAATTATATAAAAGATTAATTTGATATATTATATTTTAAGAACTTATTTGGTAAAGTTAACTTTAAATTCAGTTTAATTAAATATTAACCCATAAAAGGAGGCTTATTAAAATACAATTTTCTTAAAAAAAAAAGGATCAGAAAGGATAATTAATAGTAAATATACACTTGTTTTAGGTAAATTTAAAAGATAAATCATTTATAGGACCTTTCAAAATAAGAACAACAATAGTACGAAATTCTTTAAAAGATATATTAGACATATTCAATTTTCAGAACTTTATTAGTAAAGATAAAGTTAAACTCAGTTTAATTATATATAAACCTATAAAAAAAATTGCATAAAAATACAAGTTCCTTTATAGAAAAGGATCAAAAGGATAACAAACTAGTATATATACAGTTTTATGCCTTTAAAAGTACTCTTTTGACTTGCATAAATATTTAACAAAATGCTACCCACTACAAAGGGAAATTGGTACAAAAGTTGTACCCACAGGATAACCAGGATAATTCACATCCCTGTTGAGGCTTGATGAGTGACAAGGGGTGACAGGGTGGTGGAGGAGGGTGGCAAAAATTTGCCTCAAAAACTAACCACCCAAAATAACGGTGAGACATCATCACGGCGTTTTCTCTTCACTTTCAGTTGTTGCTTTTGTTGTCATTGTTATTGTTGTTGTTGTAGTTGTTGTAGTTGTTGTTGTTGTTGTTGTTGTTGTTGTTGTTGTAGTTGTTGTTGGTGTCACCGCAGCGTATCCTGTCCCGCGCGTGTGTGTGTGCAGCGTGTGTGTGATTGATGACAACTCGAATAAGCGATGATTGATGCTTATTTTACACTTTTCGCAACAACACACGGCGACACATGTTTATTTGGCTGTCAGTATGGGTGTCCTTATGCGTGTGCCTGTGTGAGTGTGAGTGTGCGAGAGATCCTGGGTGATATATATTTTTTTTGTTTTTTTTTTTTTTGCAAACTGCAGCGGCGGGCGGCGACTGTAACAGCAGGGGTCATGTAAATAGTAGTAAAGAATCTCTATAAATTAATATAAGTTAAAAGTATTTAACAAATATTTTCTCATTGATGAAAACATTTTTAAAAATTCAGAACAATATTTTTATATCCTTGCAGGGTATTATAATTTCAGTCAGAAGTTTGCAACGCAGTGAAGGAGGCACCTCCGACCATATAAAGAATATATATTCTTGGTCAGAATCAACAGCCGATCCGATCTAGTCATGTCCGTCTGTCCGTCTGTCCGTTTCTACGCAAACTAGTCTCTCAGTTTTAATACAATAAAAAATTATAACTTTTTCGGTTTTCAACAGATTTTTATCAAATTTAAGGTATATCCATTTTATATGAGTCTTAAATTTTGTATCAAATTTTATGAAAATCGGACGACTATATCATATAGGTGCCATACAAATGATCGTTTGATGTAGAGGAAAAATGCAAATCTGTGAATGAAAACTGCAAATATAATATGTATAGGTAAATGAAATGAAAGCAGGTATTACTTCATTGTTTTTTAACACAAATATATATAATTTAAATTTTATGGATTCCTAGTCATAGAAGTTCTATCTGGAAGGGTCAATAAATTTCGGCGTGCCGAAGTTAGCTGCCTTTCTTGTTTTTAATTAAATCTTTTAAAAATATGTAATAGTTAACATTAACAGTAGATATGTGAAAAAGCTTGCAAAAATATCGCAACGATGAAATATCGCTTCACAAATTTTTCAAATGATAATCTATGGCTTACAACTATCGATATATTGCCCAACTTCTCACATATCTAATTAACTTGTCAAACAAAAATTATTGAACATTTTCATTACATTTTCGTGCGGGGACTGAACAAGTTGTACGTTTCTAATTTCTACATAATTTCCAAAGGGAAAAATAAGTCAGTTTCTTAATAAACGAGGTAAGAGGAGATTAATAAACATATTTCCAATAGGAATTCCCCATCTATATGTATTATTTTTCGATTCTAATATGCTATAGAATAGAAAAGAGATATTACTCCCTGGCCATGTTTCCCAACAACCCAAGTCCACCCCTGTTCTCGCCCGAGGGTCGCCTCTATGAGGTGGAGCATGCCATGGAGGAGGTGGCCAAGGCAGCTCCTAGCGTTGCCATTCTGGCCGAAGATGGCATCGCGGTGGCCGCCATCCAGGAGGACTTGTTTCCCCTTATGGCCAAGCAGAGTGCATTGGGCCATATCTTTCGTGTGGACCATGACAATGCCTGTGCCGTGACCGGAATAATGACGGATGGTTTCAAGCTCGTGTCGGTGATGTCCACATACTCGCAGCGCCATCGCCGGGCCTACGGGGAACTGATGCCCACGGAGCGTCTGGTGGAGAATATTTGCCGCAAGAAGCAAAGCTACACCATGTACACCGGGAAGCGTCCCTTTGGCATCGCGGTGATCTACATGGGCTGGGATTCGGAACGTGGCTGGCAGATCTATCATTCCGATCCCAGCGGCAACTACGGTCGCTGGAAGAGTTCATGCATCGGACGACATGCACATCGGGCCCAGGAGTATCTCGATCAGATGCTTGTGGGGAAACCATTGCCATCCCTTAGTTTGGCCAATGAATTGGCCATTAAAGCCATCAAGGTGGCCATGGAGGGTATCCAACTAACCGGTTCCGCTATCCAAATGGCCACCATGCAGCGCAATCGCACGGTGACCAAGTTTCACACTGTGGCGGATAGCGTTGTTCAAGATCTCTACAATCTCCATTGCGCCGGTCCTTAAGCTGCTCGGGACTCTTCATATTGCTAATGTTCAATATGTATCATTCAATAAATGCTATTGATATGAACGTGGCTGTTCGTCGGGGGATTATAATGGGCACACGTTCCGGCGTCTCCAGACGCCGACGAGCCGCAATCATCAATGTCACCATCTCGCCCATTTTCTACCCTACCCAGGATACCCTCCCAGGATCTCCCAGTGATTTGGGTGGGAATCGATGTCAGTGTATTAGTAATTGTTTGATTTCAACCGCCTCGTGGAATATCTATCGGTGTGCTTGTGGCACAGCTCTCTCTCTCTCCTTGTGGTTTTGCTTATTGGTGTTCGGCAATACATCATCGAGTGGCTGACATTCGACTCACCCAGCATCCAGGACCTCCTGCTCCTTTTCGTCCTGCTCATCCTCAGGCATGTCCCATCAGGCTGTCTGGCCAGAATCTGGACGAAAACGATGGCTTTTGCATGCAGACTTACAAGCGTACAACTGCGGTCTCTCATATAGTTCTAATAATTCCAAAGGAAATCCTATTTCTTTCTAAATAATGGGAAAGTAGTAATACCACATGAATCCTTATTGCTCTCTCTAAAATATTAATGCTTTTAGACAAATATCTTTTCTATCTCTAAAAATAATAAGATTTTCAAAGTAATAATACAAAAATATTATGATAACCTGTTTTTTAGGTATATTAAAATGATATTTTTTATATGTTAATATTTTGATCAAATCAAACAATTTGTAAATCCCATAACTAAGCCAAAAATGCATTAATTTCTATTCGGAAAACTGTTTTGAGCTAGTTTTTACAAGGTTAACAATTCTGCATACCGAGTTTTATGATTTAATAAAATTCAATTTTTGTCAAATTTTGCAACTTTAACAATATGAAATTTAGTCATAAATATACAAAAAAAATTAAAAAAATTTGTTTTCTCCCAAACATGGCTAGATCGATTCGGTTTTTTATTCTGATCAAGAATATATATGATTTATAGGGTCGGAAATGGCTCTTTCAAGCGTTACAAGCTTCTAACTAAAATTATTATGCCTTTTTTTGAGCTGATATTTATCTATATTTTTATATGACAATTTAAAAAATTTAACAATTTAAAAAATGCATAACTAAGCCAAAAATTATTAAATTTTAATTCGGAAAGCTGTTCTGTGCTATTTTTCATAGGTTTTACAAATCTGCATACTTAATTTTAAAATTAAAAGGATTTAAAAATTTTTCAAATTTTGCAACTTTAACAAGATAAAATTTAATAATAAAATTTTGAAAAAAAATTGAAATATTTAATTTTCTTCCAAACACAGCTAGATCGATTTGGTTTTTTATACTGATCAAGAATATATATGATGTATAGGGTCGGAAATAATTCCTTCACTGAATTTTAAGCTTCTGACTGAAATTTTAATACCATTCTTTAAGCCGATATTTATTGATATTTTTATATGACAATTTTTATGATAAATCAAAGTTTAAAAAATTCATAACTAAGCCAAAAATGTAATAATTTTAATTCCGAAAGCTTTTCTGTGCTAGTTTTTATAGCGTTAAAAAATCTGCATACTAGTTTTTAAAATTTGAAGGAATTCAAATTTTGACAAATTTTGCAACTTTAACAATCAAACAATCATAAAATTTCGGAAAAAATATGATAAAAAATAGTTTGCTCCCAAATATGTCTAGATCGATTTGGCTTTTAATGCTGATCAAGAATTTATAGGGTCGGAAATGACTCCTTTATGAGTTACAAGCTTCTGACTGAAATTATAATACTATTTTTTAGTTAATATTTATTGATATTTTTACATGACAATTTTTTCGACAAATCAGTGTTTAAAAAATCCATTACTAAGCCAAAAATTCACTAATATCTATTTGGAAAACTGTTTTGAACTAGTTCTTACAAGGTTAACAAATCTGCATACTGGGTTTTATGATTTAATAAAATTAAATTTTTGTCAACTTTTGCAACTCTGTCAATATAAAATTTAGTCATAAAATTTCGAAAAAAAAAATCGAAAAAATATTTCTCACCAAACATGTCTAGATCGATTCGGATTTTTATGCTGATCAAGAATATATATGATTTATAGGGTCGGAAACGACTCCTTCACTCCTGAAACTTCACTACAAGGATTTAAAAACGAACAATTAAATAATTTAAAACAAATTAACCGAAATAAAACCCTGACTAAAAACAAAATCTCTAGTCATTTCCAATTAAATTTTTAAATCCAAAATATTGTTTGGTGCTATTATTTTGACACTGACTGTGGTGTCTAGTGTGGATGCCTTTAAGAAATGTAATTTAAAACGCCACACAATGTCAGCCGTACACATATGGACATACATTTAATCCTGGCCACTTGGGCCAACTTGTAATTGTTAATTAGAGCTGACAACGGGTACAGAACCGAGAGGGTCGAGGGTCGGGATTCGAGGGACCTGTCATAAATTGTGCGAAATGCATAATTCTCTGCTTACCAGGCCAATTGATTAACTTTTGTTCAATGCGAATTGACAGGAATGCAAACATGCAAAAACATATACACAATTACCAAGAGCAACTACCATTATATTGTATTATTTAATTTATATACGTCAAGTTTAACAATTAAAATTTAGTAAGAATTCTAAGTTAAAAACCAGACCGTGCCAGGTTTTCCCATAAAATGTACAAAACTTAATAAGGTACTATATTTATTCCTTGAAACAACCATTGAAAACACCAATTAAAAAAAGTAATCCATACAAAAAAGTATTTGTAATATAATTGGGAATTAACTTGATTAGTTCTTTAAATTCTAAAAAAAATGCTAAAGTAGCCTCCGATAAAAGCAATTATTGTTTTGGCACTTTAAATGCGCACTTCCTGGATCACGTTTTTCATTAATTATCCTTGGGATTTTCCACCTGGGGGGATCGAACAAAGAAAATCGTTGGCGGTGCTGTATTTGGACGAGCTGTCGTTTCACCGAATCCCTGGACTGCAGGCCAAAGCTAAGGGATTTTACTTAAATTATTAATTTGTTAAATATATTTATTTATTTATGTAAACTTTACCTTTCTGTGCTGCCTCCGAAAGCGCTGCCTATGCACTTGAGCTAATTTTCCATTCGAAAGTAACGATCGTTTACGGCGCTGCCAAACCTGTTGAAAAAATGGCCATTAAAATCAAGGGAAATTAACCTTACGAATATATAAATAGATGCTATTTGTATGTGTATTTTATGGTATTTTGTTAAAGTACCTTTTTTACATTTACTAATTTAGGCTGTTTTATTTTGTTTCGTTTTATGCTCTGTCGAAATACTAAAGAGTCTTCTCTCGCGCCGTCTGGCAGCGCCGTTTTGGTATTTTAATCGCTCACGTTTCCGTACTTCACTTACGAAATGCCGTAATTAACTGTTTGCTTCTCGCTCGCTCTCACTATTTTAAAGCGACCGTAGTGATGTGACCAGACATCGATAGTCGGCGTCGAATACCGATGTTTCGAACTATTGGTGTTTCCCCACCTCTAGTGAAAATTTCGCGATCGTCGCCATTTTGATTTTGTGTGCAAAATTTTCTTATTGTGTCTTTTTACCTGCATATTGATATCGTAGCGAATTCTGCGCTCCAACTGCGTCTTCTTGGCCACCAATTGGCGACACAGCCACCGGATGCCGCGCTGCAGATCCGCCGCATCGTCCATGTGGCAGAGGATCAGCGGACAATTGCAGGAGCTCGCGAGGTGCTCCAACCCGAATGCGTACTCCACGTCGTACAGTTGCACACCATCGCGGTGTCGCGATGCCGCAAGGAGCACCGGCTTCCCAGCTAGCTGTGTGCCTTCGAGACTTGCTGCCAGCAGATTGAAGGTGTCCTGCAGCTTCTCCGGATCCGTCGACAGATCGAAGCAGTAGATGAGGGCGTGTGAGGAGGCGTAATAGTGACGCCAGAGCCGCTGCATGTCTGGACTGCCACCGACTTCGGTAAGCTGCAGCTTAATAGCTGGACAATCCTCTAAAGTAATATTAGCGGTGTAGCAACGCACGCCATTCGTGGCCTCATGGTCGTCTTCCAGGCGCTGCAATCCACCAAGGTGATGGCCCAGTTCCGTCTTGCCACTGGCCGTCGGTCCTAGGATTAGGACCTGGAACTCCTCCGCCTCGGGCGGTGCCTGCGAGGAAATGCAAGGGAAACAGGAGGAGCAGCAGCAGCAGCAGGGGCGCAACGTGGCGCACAGCAAACCCATCTAGGCCGCCATCTCGAGCCAGCTTTTCGTACGGTTAATTTTCACACTTCTTCCGGCCGTTTTGGATACGAATATCGAAATGGCTTGTTTATTTACCTGCCGCCGGTGGTGGACACACACCAGCTGACGGCGATACAGGTGCGTCGTCATGGCAATTCTGGTGTTTTGGCCGGAAGGATGCCATGGCAACTGGCGGCCCGACGAGGGATGGTTAAGCAGCGCCGAGGGATTTAACCACGTAAGTGGTTCCAAATTATACCTTTTTTTTAACGAGAACGTGATTCATTTTTGCTTATATATTTGTTTTGCCTGAAATATTTCGCTGAGAAATTAATCATTATGAATTTTTCAAGGAATATTTCATTTTTATGACTTCTAAGAATATTTTCTGCAGAAATAGGACTTTAGGAAAAGCCCTTTCATGGATATTCGGTAGAGAAATTAATTTCGGTGTTCGAAAATTATAGATTTCTGACTGACCAAGGATATTTCTACAGCAATTGATATGGTTTTGTATTTTCTAAGATATTTTCTCAGTACAATAATTAATTTTCAACTCTTTTTAGGATCATTTATTGCGCAAAATATTCATTAATGATTTTCTGATAAAAATATTAGTTTTGGAACATTTTTAGAGTTTAGTTGTGGTTTTTTAAGGAAGAAACCACTTAGGAAAAGCTACCAAAGTCAGGGAATATTTTGTGTACGCATATATTTTACAAGAAACTTAGTTGCAAAACATATTTCAAGATCTAGGTGAACTCTAAGTAAGATTTGTAAGGTTTAGCTTGCTATATTCGGACATTTATTTGTATAGTTTAATTTTAAAACTTAAATGCAAATGTTGAGCTCCTCCTGAATAAGCTTTAATGCAAGTTCCTGTTTTGGAATGTTCGAAAAAGTTTAAGCGAAGAGCTTTTCCTTGTGTTGTTTAACTTTTCCGATAGATGTTTGTCCCAAAGAGTGTTAACATGGGGAAATTCGTTTCACACAGACATTCTATGCTTAGGGACTTTTGTATATCCCTGTTTCCCTGTTCGAGATTTCCCAATCTCAGGTTTTCCCTGCCTTTTCTTTACCTTCCAAGTTGAAAGGCAGTTCAAGTGGGACTCGCAATTGTTTTGTTTATTCAATCCCAGACTTGGCACTTATTGATTCGGTTTCATTTCCTGATTGCTTGCTGGCTGGCCTCAGCTCCCTCTGTTTTATGTTTTCTGTTTGTGAATTTATGCACACACTGGTACACACCCACACACCACACAGGCACACACACATAATGTATCTTTGATGAAGCTGCGGTGGCCGTGGCTTTTGTGGCTTCCACACGGCGTCGAAAAGGACCAGGAGCTGGAAAGGAGCCTGGGTGGATACAGTCGCGCTAATCGCTACCCATGTGACCATGTTTGCTCCGCGCCTAAGCCCTCAATGGTGGCTCCTTTGTGTTATTCCATTGCATTATGTGATGTTGTGCCCCGAAACCGTTAAGCACATCTGCTAAGAATCCCCACTTTGCCCCTCTTCTCGCCGGCAAATTGAAAAGTAAGCAAAAGCTAAACGTTCGCCGAACTTTGCGGGGGTTACAAAATAGAAGAAAAGTCGTCTGTAGCCTTGAGGCAGTCGCCAGCAATCCTTTTGTGCAGCTCCTGCTACTGTGTCCATACCCAAAAAAGAAAGAAAGAGGAAAGAGTTTTCTGCACAGAGGCAAAATATGAACTTGGCTACCTGTATATTTTCTTATATTTATTAGGAAATTAAAGGTAGACAAAGTTAAATAAATTAATTTATATTGTGTAATGAAATCTGTAAGTCTTAGGCATGATTTCCATTAAAATAACATTCAGTTTGTACAGATTTATAAAGTAAAAAATATCTAAATAGCTTAATTTGTTGCAAAATAGCAGATGCATGTAAAATCTTTAATATTTCTTACTCTTTTAATTGCAAATTTAAAGTTTTATACATACAAAATGTATTAAATAGTAGAATAATATTTTCTAAACAAGATAAGATTATTATTTGCTTAAGGAAGCCAACAAAAACCTAGGAAAGTTAGTGTTTTCTTAGGGCTACCTTAATTTTTATTAGTTTCCTTTATTGGAATTGCACTTTGTTATATTTTCCTGCATTTTTCAAGCTTGTACGTTGTCCTTCATAATTATTTTTCCTTGTGTGCACCCTCTGCCTCATATGAATATCAAGTTTCTGGGCAACGACTGACATTAGTTTCTGCATGCCTTCGCCTTCGCATTCGCGTCCATTTTAATATGCGCATTAATGCGGCACAAAGCGGTGCGAAAAGTGACAACACGGTAGCAAAGTCCTGCGTCCTGCAGCCGGCCAGGTGAGGATATGCAAATACGCGGCTGCTGGAGCGGCAGTTGATTGCTGCTGGTTGCATGGAACTGCACACGCCCCCAGTCCATCAGTCATTCGAGTGGTGAGATCCAAGAGAAGCTTAATATATCACCTAAAGATTTAAGAATAGATTTGAGAAAGGTTTGGGAAATTCTAATTCTGTGTAGGTTGGTCCTTGCAAAAGATACTTGTAATTTTCTAGACCTCTAAAGATTAAACAACTAACAAATGAAGCTGCCCTCGCATGTCCCTCTCTGTATGCATGTATTTAGCCAAGCTTAAGTCAAATATTTGCAGGTGGCTGACGCCCCAGGACATGCTTTTGCTGCTGCTGCTGCTGCTCAGAGTCTGAAAGTCAGCTTCAGTTCCTGACCCTATCCGTTCAACATGCAACCTATGGCTAAATGAAGCGGCCCACCAGCGTAATCGCTCCTCGACTCACAGCTGCCGTTGGTCCCTTGGTTCTTCATTCGATTATTTCTGCGAGGACGCATCATTCCATTCACTTTCCGGTTTGAGCCTTCAGCCTGTGTGTTTGCGCCTTCATACCTTATCCTCTTTGACTATTCCACAGAACCACATGGCGACGTCGTATTTCCTTCTACTTACTTGGCAGGCAAGCGTTTGGGTTTTTTCGCTGGCAGCATCGCTGATTTTCCACCGATTTTGCCCAGCATTTCGCGGCTTCTGCCACTTGTCGAGTCGTTCACCGTGGCTGGCAAAAAGTTTTAGCCACACCGGAGGAAGAGGAGTCGGCGGCGTCAGCTTGCCTCGGATTTCATTTCCGGCATGTTGCGGTTACGTTAAGTAACGGAGATTGCATCGCTAATGATGCAATTGTGTTTGGCGGAAATGAAAGCGGTTTCGTGTGACGACTTTGCTTAGCCAGCTCGAGCGCACACCTCTCGCATTCTATCTCCAGTGTACGACACTGTCCTGTCCCGTCGTGTCCCGTCCTCAATATTCAGTCAGAGGCCAATGAAGCCGAAGGAGAATGAAAAACTATGCCCGCTAATTGCATCTGCTTTGGTTTCGTTTCCGCAAAGAAAAAGGGAAGTGGATAAAGCGGAAGCGGCGCTCTCGGCGCTTCTCAAACAACCTGCCTTAATGAGCTCTCCATAATTGTTTAATTGGATAAGAAATAGAGTCACGGGATGCTTGACACACTTTACCTCCGCAGTCTGCTCTGCTTTTTTGAAAGAAACGAAAAAAGTATAGTTTAAGCAGGAAGCAAACCAATTGGAAATGGAAATAAAAATGAAAATCGAGGTAGCCATGACATCGAAATCGGAACAGTCATCGACTATGTAGCCTAAATATTTTAGTTTACTTTTCTACTTCTACTAGGCCTAACCGTTCAGACCTTTCTACAAAATTTTTAATTTTCCCAAATTTTCCATTCCAGGCTGAAAAGATGAACCAGTTGAAAAATTCGAGAAGGAGGAAGAGGTGAGTTAATAGTGCAATAGGGTTATGACTTCAAGGCACTCATCAATATTTTCTGCTAGTGCCGGCAATGGTAACCAGCCCTGTCCCAGTGACTGCTCGGATCGTCTGAACAGGTATTTATGTACTTTGTTTATTTATTCATTAAGTAATTAACATTAAGATTAAGCAAGGGAGTTTTGGCAATGGCAGCTGGAGCCTTCAGCTCTTCTTTTACAATTCATTTATTAAGATTATCTAAGCTATATATATATATATATATGGAGGTATAGATTCGTGATTTTAGGGAATCGTTTCCTGGTACTAAAATCTGTCTGGAATTCCAAAGAAGATTGAATCTAGATTGCGGTCATTCGTGGTGTAGTGTTCGTTATGGTTATGATTAGCTTCTATAGCTTCTTATGCAACTTATGCAAGTTTCTTAAGCGTCTAAGGCTAAGGATAAATTAGGAAGAATGTTTAGTATTTATTTTCAATGATCCAATTTGAAATTAATATCCTTTCTCGATTTAAATCGCTTTTATAAGAACCCCAGAAATGCCCCAAATACGCCCGATGATCTGACACGAACTCCGGAACATTTACGACCGGGATTTCGAGGTCAGGTCCCGCAATACAATCCCCAAGATTTCGGTTTAACGGGCAACGAGCAGTGGCAACATCCACGTATGTTCCGTGACATGACTTGTAAGTGGAAACCAAATCGTTATATTCTACTATTACCAATTATTAATCTTATTTATTTCAATATCAAGATGAAACGGATGCCGCGGCCATGGAAACCTTTCGGCAGGTTCATCCACAGCGCCATCGGCCGTGTCCGGCGGAATTAAATATCAGCGATCTGCCTGAGGAGTGTTTGGCGGATATGTCATCGCCAGGCTTTGATCTTAGCATGCCATCGCAGATGTCCGGTGCGGGTACGGAGCAAGAATGCCTTGCGGATGTGTCTCCTCCGTGTATGAATCAGGATGATTCCGCGGATAGGTCCGAGAAGGATACACTTAATTACATGGACTGTGTGTATAATGAGATCTCGGGTCGCTTTAAGCAACTAAGGAACCATATATGGTGCAGCCCAGCTCAGGCCCAACAAGAAGAGGAGATGGAAGAAAAAGATGAGGCTGAGAATACACCCTGTGACCAACAGGTAAGTCCTGAATTATATTCATTTTAAAACAATTATTGGATATGGGATCATTTACAAAATAATATACTATATTTGGTGATCTAATTCAAGGGAGAAATGTTTTAGGAATTTCGAACAGTTTCATTATTATGACCATTCTTCTACACTCTTTTAAATTTCCAAGCTGAAAGTTAGGTGAGGTCGTTTGTTGTTTAGTTTTTTCCATTTTAACCATGCATATTTGCACATCAAATTATAATATTGTGTCAAAAACCTTAGAATGATATGACGAATCCTATTTCCGACGACATGGCGGACCAATGCGAGAACCTGGAGGATCAGTCAATGCCCTCCTTTCAGCAGTCTCGCCTGGAAGACGAGTCGATGCCAAAATCATGTGGCAATGTATCATGGAGTCCCAATGAAGTTGTTAAAGTTGATTACCAGAAGTCTATTGAAGCCAATAGATTGATTATGCAGCAGCAGAAGCAGCAGCAAAAGCAACAGAAAATGCAGCAAAACCTATGGGATGTATCGGCGCCCTCAATGGCCAACTCCACCAGACAGGAATGCTTGGAGGATATATCGATGCCCTCATTTGACGGAACAACTCCCAAGGGAAGGCAGAGGTCAAAATCAACTAGCAGGTGTCCCAGCGATAGATATACTTCAAGCTTCGCCCATTCAAGATGCATTCCAAAGACCAGTGAATCCTTGGGAGATTTCACCGTGCCGTCACCGAACAGAAGTCTCCGACAGGGAAGACGACCTTTGACCAATGAATGTTTGGATGATGTGACCATGCCATCATGCGGCGGTTCGAGATCTGCCAGGCAGCGATCGGTTCGAAGGCAGCTATTCCCAATGACCAACGAGTGTCTGGAAGATATAACAATGCCCTCGTTCGAAGGACTTTCCGATTCAACAAGGAGAAATTGTCCTGGTCGACAAAATAGATCAATGACGAATGAATGTCTGCAAGATATAACAATGCCCTCGTATGAAGAGCATTCTGAAGCCTCCAGAGACTTTAGTCTTAGCCGTCAGCAGAGAAGTCTGATCAACGAATGTCTTGACGATCTAACTATGCCTTCATTTACTGAAGTTTCCGCAGAGTGTGATGACGGGAGTCTAAGCCGAGAACAAAGAACGTTGATCAACGAGTGTCTAGACGATATAACTATGCCCTCATTTGAAAATATCTCGGGAACTTCAGGGGCCAAGTGTCCTGATCAGCAGCAAAGATCCATGACTAACGAATGTCTAGATAATATGACGATGCCATCTTTTGGAGAAGCATCAACAGCCAAGAGTCCTTGTAGACAACCTAGATCTATGACCAATGAATGTCTGGAGGATATGTCCATGCCCTCGTTTGAAGAGGTTTCTGGATCATCAAGAGCTACATGTCCCGATCGGAAGATGAGATCCATGACTAACGAATGTCTAGATAACATGACGATGCCATCTTTTGGAGAAGCATCAACAGGCAAGAGTCCATGTAGCCAACCTAGATCCATGACCAACGAGTGTCTGGAAGACATGACAATGCCATCGTTCGGGGAAGTTTCAGGATCATCAAGAGCTAAATGTCCAGACCAAAAGACCAACAAGAGTAGAGTTGCTCGACCATTAAAAGCTAAGAGTTGTCTAAAGCCGAGATCAATTCAAAACGAATGTCTGGAAGATATGACGATGCCTTCCTATTGCGAACCATCTACTGGCAGGGGTACTTCAAGACAAAGATCCATGGCCAATGAATGTCTGGAAGACATAACTATGCCCTCTTTCGGTGAAGTTTCTAGGCGCAAAACTCCAGGTCCAATGCATAGATCCATGATCAACGAATGTCTAGATGACATGACCATGCCATCGTTCGGGGAAGTTTCTGGATCATCAAGAGCCAAGTGTCCTGATCAAAGGCAGAGATGCGTGACCAATAAAAGTAGAAGCGCTCGAGTTTCAAAAGGAAAAAGTCGTAGTATAAGACACAGATCAAATCAAAACGAATGTCTCGAAGATATGACGATGCCTTCCTGTTGCGAACCATCTACAGCAAAAAGTCCATGCAGGCAACCAAGATCCATGACCAACGAATGTCTGGATGACATGACCATGCCATCGTTCGGGGAAGTCTCTGGATCATTAAGAGCCAAGTGTCTTGATCAAAGGCAGAGATGCGTGACCAATAAAAGTAGAAGCGCTCGAGTTTCAAAAGGAAAAAGTCGTAGTATAAGACACAGATCAAATCAAAACGAATGTCTCGAAGATATGACCATGCCTTCCTATGGCGAAGCATCTACAGTAAAAAGTCCATGCAGGCAACAAAGATCCACGGCCAACGAATGTCTGGAAGATATAACTATGCCCTCCTTTGGAGGAGTTTCTGTAGCTTCTCGGGCCAAAAGTCCAGGTCGAAGGCATAGATCGATGCCCAGCGAATGTTTAGATGACATGACCATGCCATCGTTTGAAAGAGATTCCCTTGCATCCAAAGACAGGACACTTAGTCGACTCCAAAGATCCATGATTAATGAGTGTCTAGATGACATAACTATGCCCTCGTTTAGGGAAGTTTCCAAGGAGTGTAAAGACACTAGTCTTAGCCAAAAGCAGAGATGTATGATAGACGAACTTTTAGACGATATGACAATACCTTCGTTCGAAGATGTAACCGGATCATCAATGGCCAAGTGTCGTGAGCGAAAGCAGATATCTATGACCAACGAATGTCTAGATGACATGACTATGCCTTCCTTTGGCGGAGTTTCGCGAGCATCGAGATGCAATAGTCCTTGCCGTAAGCAGAAATCCATGACCAACGAATGTCTGGAAGATATGACGATGCCGTCTTATGGAAATGCTTCAGGAGTTTCTAGGGGCAAAAGTCCACGTTGTATGCAGAGATCGATGCCCAGTGAATGTCTAGAAGATATGAGCATGCCCTCTTTCGGAAGAGCTTCCCTTGCATCCAAAGACAGGACTCTTAGTCGACTTCAGAGATCTATGATCAACGAATGTTTAGATGACATAACTATGCCCTCTTTTAGAGAAGTTTCCAAGGAGTGTAAAGACACTAGTCTTAGCCTAAAGCAGAGATGTATGATTGACGAACTTTTAGACGATATGACAATACCTTCGTTCGAAGATGTAACCGGATCATCAATGGCCAAGTGCCCGGAGCAAAAGCAGATATCCATGACCAACGAATGTCTAGATGACATGACTATGCCTTCCTTTGGCGGAGTTTCGCGAGCATCTAGATGCAATAGTCCTTGCCGTAAACAGAAATCCATGACCAACGAATGTCTGGAAGATATGACTATGCCATCGTTCAGGGAAGTTTCGGAATCATCAAGGGCCAAGTGTTCTGATCAAAAGCAAAGATCCATGACTAATAAGAGTAGAGGGGCTCGAACAACTAGGGGCAAGAGTCCTGGTCATAGATCTATGACCAATGAATGTCTGGAAGATATGACAATGCCGTCATATTGCGAAGAATCTAGAGCAATGACTCCTTGTAGGCAACAAAGATCGATAGCCAACGAATGTCTAGACGATGTGACCATGCCATCGTTCGGGGAAGTTTCTGGATCGTCACGAGCTAAGAGTCCTGATAAAAAGTCGAGATCAATGGCCAACAAAAGTAGAGTTGCTCGAGCATCTAAGGGTAAGAGTCCTGGTTTAAGGGAAAGATCCTTGACAAACGAATGTCTGGAGGATATGACTATGCCCTCCTATTGCGAAGAACCCAGAGCCAGGAGTCCTTGCAAACAACAAAGATCGATGCCCAATGAATGCCTGGAAGATATTTCAATGCCCTCTTTCGGTGATGATTCTACTCAGTCGAGAGCCAAGGGTCCTGGTCGAATGCAGAGATCGATGAGCAACAAGAGCAGAGGTGCTGGAGCATCTAGAGGCAAGAGTCCTGGTCATAGATCTATGACCAACGAATGTCTGGAAGATATGTCGATGCCGTCCTATTGCGAAGAATCTAGAGCCAAGAGTCCTTGCAGACAACAAAGATCGATGCCCAATGAATGCCTGGAAGATATCACAATGCCCTCTTTCGGTAATAATTATACTCAGTCGAGGGGCAAAAGTCCAGGTCGAATGCAGAGATCGATGCCCAGCGAATGTCTAGAGGATGTGACCATGCCCTCGTTCCGAAGTGCTTCCGTTGCATCTACAGGCAGAGCTCTTAGTCGATTGCAGAGATCAGTGATCAACGAACTTCTTGACGAAATTACCATGCCCTCCTGCGGAGATGTCACCGGATCATCAAGAGGAGCCAAATGTCCTGAGCGAACGCAGATATCCATGGCCAACGAATGTCTAGATGACATGACTATGCCTTCCTTCGGAGGAGTTTCTCGAGCCTCTAGATGCAATAGTCCTTGTCGTAGGCAGATGACCATGACCAATGAATGTCTGGAAGACATGACAATGCCATCGTTCGGAGGAGTTTCCAGATCAGCAAGGAGTAAGAGTTCTAGTCGTCAACAAAGATCGATGACCAAAGAGTATCTGGAGGATATTTCAATGCCGTCCTATAATGAAGTATCCAGAGGCAAGAGTCCTGGCCGAATGCAAAGATCTATGGCCAGCGAACGCCAACAGAATGCATCAATGCCACCTGCGATTGCTGGGATATTGAAGAAGCCAAAGGTGCAGCAAAATATCTGTGACATTTCAGCACCATCTTTTGCTAGTTCAGGTCGTGGGGCAACAATCGCCAGCGATGAGTGTCTGGAGGATGAAAGCATGCCATCTTTTGGCAGTTCAGGGCGCTATGATTCTGTTCAGGGAACCAAGGAATGCTTGGAGAATATGTCCATGCCGTCGTATGCTGAATTCTCTGGGTCGATGCCATCGCGGGGACGTAGCTGCCGGCAACAGCAAATGTCGATGACGAATGAATGCCTGGAGGACATGACAATGCCGTCGTTTGGCGGATACCTTGGGTCATCGGGACGAGGCGTTAGCTGCGAGGAGGAAATGGGCATGCATTCGAGCCTCCGGCAGCGGCGACCCTATTCCAATCCATCGTCCATGGTATGTGTGGCAGATAGAGAAGAGGGAGCACGACTTCGGCCCCGTTTATCGGCACCTGCTGTGAACAATAGATATTGCCACCAGGAGGCGACATCGCGACGTGGCCCCGGGATGACGGCCGAGTGCCTGGAGGATGTGTCCATGCCGCAGGACTTCCTGAAGTCCTTCAACGTATCCAAATCGGTAGCGCGACGTGGGCCAGACATTTCCTATCCCACAGAGTATTTGGGTGACGAGAGTGCTCCTTTCTCGTTTCGGAACCGAACTGGTTGCAGCAAAGTCTCCAAGTGCCCTGTACTGGATGGCAGCGGTGGGCGCTTAGAGGATGTGACCATGCCCTCTCTCCACGACGACTCATGCTATAATCCCTGTCTGATGTCGGTACCCACTGAGAGGCTGGAGGATATAACTGATCCTTGCCGCGCCCATATCCTTGATGATAGCGATTCTGATGAATTTTTCGAAACCATGGCGCCGCCTTTGAGCTCAACTAGATGCGAGACACCCAAGGCAAAGACTCGCAAGGCGGAAAAATCAGGAACGAAATCGAAAGGTTGCTCCAAGAAGGTAACAACCTCCGAAAGACGGAACAAGAACACTTGTTCACCGATAATATCGGACAGTTCCAGTGATTCATCGCCCAAAATGACGCAGGTCACGATCAAGTCCACCTCGTCGGTGACCAGAACTTATCAAATCCCTGCAATAACTACGAACAAACCATGATCGATGACATGACAATGCCCAGTTTTAATCCCTCCTTCAATTCAACGCAACAAACTGAAACGATCGATCCATCCTGTCACGGTTTTAGCTCCATGGATAATTATGCTCCCTTCAATGAACTCATCCGTTCGCGGGACGAGAGTTCGATTTGCAATGAAAGCCAATCCCCATGCCCCGAAAGGGTCAAGGGAGCAAAGCAAAAGGATCGCAGCAATCGGAGCAATCGTGGCAAGGATGGTTGCTCTGGAAGATCGCAAAGCAGCAAACGAAAGCGCTGCTAATTGAGTTTGGGGGTTCCCCTCTTCAGCCTGGAGGAATTTTGTAAATTTTTTTTTACCATTTTTACAGTGGGGAAATTACCAACGGCAGCATTATTATTTTTCAACTTCGAATAAATTCACAAGTAGGAGTAAAAGTAACTCAGAACGTATATATTTAATTATAGCATTTTGGTAACAAACAAGTATATGTAGCTCTCTCAGCGGAAACTCGCGTTCATTGCTGGCTTTTGTCAGCCCTTTGGCCTCTGTTGTTTTTCCCCGGCTCATTTCCTTTGTTGTCTCGATAAAATGTGGGTGGGCGTAAATAAGGGGTATCGGAATCAGAATCGGTATCGCTGTCTGCAGCAGACACCCGACGAGCAGCAGCGTGTCGAGCGATGCGAGCTATTTAAAAACAATTTATTTTTAGCAAGTGAAGCGCCACAAGCGAAACAACCTGTCGACCCACTGCAAAACCCACCCATCAGCCATCAAAGTCAGACACTGACACAAAAAAATACATACCTCTTGCCTTTACCCTTAAATATATTTCAATTGTTAAAGGGTTTGCTTTTCACCTTTGCCCTGCAGTACATTTAAAGACGACATTTAAAAGGTATATTTAAATAATATCTTGTCTAGACTTTGCTTTGTTTATTTGTTATTTTAACTGTACAATGTCTTTATTTCATTATTTCATTTTTGGTTATTTGCTTTTTATTCCCGTGCATTCCTTACTTTAAAAATGTTTTAAATGTTCTTTATAGATTTTTGTAGAAGGGTTTGTTTTCATCTTTGCATCGCAGTACATTGACCAACACTAAACAGTTTGAGCAATACATTTAAAATGTGTTTTTGTAATAATGTCTTTTATCGACTGGCTTCGTTTATTATCTAATTTCTAAATCGTATTTCTACTAGAATAATTTTCGTTTATTTGCTTATTTATTTTATTTTAGAAATATTGAAATTTTTGTTTAGCAATATTTTTAAAGAGGTTTGTTTTTATCTTTGCCTTGCAGTACATACATATACTGGACAGTTTAAAGAAGATATTTAAAAGGTTTATTTTAAATAATATCTTGTCTAGAGTTGCTTTATTTTATTAAATTGTATTTCTACTAGAATTACTTTCAGTTATTTGCTTATTTTAAAAATATTGCAATTTTTATTTATCGATTTCTTAAAAGGGTTATCTTTGCTTCACATTACATTGACCAACACTGGATAGTTTAAAGAATACATTTAAAAAGTGTATTTAAAATAATATCTTCTCTTGCTTTGTTTATTATTATGTTAACCAAGCTATTTCTAAAATTGTATTTCTATAGGTATTATTTTCGTTTGTTTCCTTTTTTATTCTCCGTGCACATTTGCATCCTTCTCCAGGCTTAACCCGCCCCTGCTCCATTCCGCTCCTGTGACTGTGACTGCGACTGCGACGTTGATTTCGGTTTGAAAAATCGAGCTAACGTGTGTGTGTGTGGGTCTCTGTGTGTGTGTTTGTGTGTTGTGAGGGAGGGAGGGAGGGAGGGAGGTAGGGAGGCGTGAGGTGGTTAGGAAGGTGCCAGAGGTATGCAAAACAAGAACTGCAGATGCTTCAGATTGGTTTTCCAATTACTCAACATTTCAATGCAAATAACACGGGCGGGGGTTCCCAGGAAGAAAGATGGCGACGTAACGGTTAACGCCGAAGTGGGTAACCCGTTGAAGAATTGAATTGGCAACACACACACACACACACACTCTGGTCTGTCCGCATTTGTGTGTGGCTGCTGCTGAGATTTGCGGCCAAGGGCGGTGACCCGGGTGACCCGGCTCTCACAGCTGCGGCTGCTAAATATATCTTTCGATTTCTTGTCAGAGATAAAATTTCAATCACGTTTACTTCACTTTCACTTGGCCCTTTCTCGCCCACTGACCCACTCAATCAGGCTCGCTTCACTGTGTTGGCCAACAACACTGCAAATTCGTTATTACGACAGGTGCGAGTTCGTGTTGTGTTTTTTTTTTTTTTGGGGGGTTTTTCTCTGAGAAATTGCAGGTCAGGTTCAGGTATATTCAAGCACTAGGATTTTATTTGTAATTTATAAATAACATTGCTTTTCAAGTATATTTCAACAATACTGGAACTGTTTTGGGAATATATATTGGGTCTAATTGTTTGCTTGCTTTTTGTTTTAAATATTTACATTGTTACTTATTCATATACGATTGAGTATTTAAGTGTGAGGTTTTGCCTGTCTAAAAATGTTTTCCAATACTTTAATTTGTAAAAGTTTTGAAAAGCATTTTTCTTTTATTACTAAACTTTGTCACATTTAAACAATTTGTTATATTTCTATATCTCTTAGGATACATTTGTTGGTAGAAAGCTTATAGATCTTGCTTAATTATTATTTAATACCCTTTTTTAAAAAGGATAATCGTGGTTTTGTAACCATTCCGTGATGATTTCACCGTTCAAACACTGCCAAACCATTTGTCAACACTGAAGTGGGCGTGAAAAATGGCGGCAACGCTATTTCCATCTTGATTTTCATTTTCATTTTCCCCATTTCCCCATTCTGCCATCAGCTGTGTGTTAGAGAGAGGGAGAGGAGGCTTAGAGCGAGAGCCAAAGCCTCACACGTAGCAGCCACTTAAAAGTTGAAAATTACAATTTACAGTTTTAGCCCCCGAAGACTTGTGCACATGATGCATATAGTTTATTTTTTATTTTTTGAGAGTTTTTTTTTAGTTACCATTCAAGTGGCAGTTAAAATGGCTTCAGCCTCAATTGCTGGCATCCTGGTGGCAGTTTTTGTAGCCACGATTCCGCGGCAGCCAGCAGCTAGTAGCCAGGAGGAGCCAGCAGCCAGGAGCCAGCATCCAACATGGCCAACATTCTACTACATCCTCCATATAACATTCAACATTTAACATTCAAACATTCAAACATTCAGCGAACGGCTCGCAGCGACCCGCTGCATTAGGAAAGTTGACGCTGTTGATGCTGTGAGCGATTTATTGTTTTTGTGTAGAAAGCGTAAAATGGAACAAATTTCCCCATTTCCATTTCACTCTCCTTCCAACCCCTACCCCCTATACACATTCACATTCGTCAGTGATGCCAGGGCGACCCATTTCAAAGAAAAAAAGAGGAAAATATCGAACTGTAGGGACAACAAAGGGTTTACACAGTTTTACCGAAAATTTAATTAATTCATATCTTGATCAAGGTGAAAATTAAATGAACTAACTTTGGTTTATTGTAATTAAATGGGGAAAAGTGTGAGAACATTTTAAAGTTTAATTAGCTTCGTTTTTTCACTTACTTTTTCCGAGAAAATATAACTTTCTGCATTAAAATGTCAGAGAAACAGAAAAAATGATCAACTATAAGTTAAATTTTTCAAATAAATCAATCTAGGTTAAAGAAAAGTTTCAAAGTATAATTAAATACATATTTTAAACTCCATAAAACAGTTATCCTGCATAAGCCACTTCAGACGAAGCAATCTAGATCGCTGTTAACTATTTTTCTTTCCTTTTCGCGAGCTTTATCTACCAAAGTTAAGCTGAATTTTGTACTGTTTCATTTTTATTGTTTCCCTTTAAATAATAATTATTATTTAAATTAAAATAAATTATATATTTTAAACTTTATAAAGCAGAAATCGTTTATAAGCAACATCAGACGAAGCAATCTAGATCGCTGTTAACTATTTTTCTTTGCTTTTTGCGAGCTTTATCTACCAAAGTTAAGCTGCATTCTCTACTCTTTTATTTTTATTGTTCTCTTTTAAAGAGTAATTATTATATAAATTAAAATAAATGATATATTTTAAACTTTATGAAGCAGAAATCCTTCATAAGCAATCTAGCCCCTATAACTCTTTTTCTTTGCCTTTTTCAAGCTTGATCTAGAAAAAATTTATCTGCATTCTCTACTCTTTTATTTTTATTGTTTCTTTTAATAATAATTATTATTTTAAACAGTAAAAATATATGTTTATATAACCAACTAGGACATCTCTGCCTTTGCCCCAACAGAGAGTGTTTGCCTGCGAATGTGGTTGCATACTTTTAGGCTGCAACTGCAACGGCTGCTCCTGGTTTTTCGTCCTGCACCGCCTCCCCTGCTGTTACCCCCTCATTGCCCATTGGAGGCTAGGCAGTTAATTGTAATTCTGCAAAAATGCTGTCAAAGTTATGCGAGTGCGAAAATGTCCACGGGCAATGAGAAGGGGGTAGATGACGTCGACGATGGTGGTTTTTGGTTTCGCCCCGGAAAATGGGAAACTGATGGGTTATGGGTGCCGACTGCAGGGTGCAGGGTGCAGGGGTGGCTATCCACCCGGACAGCGGCACTCGACCAAGCCCGCATTCGAGTGGATCGCAGTTTGTTTCAAAATTGCATTTTAAAGCCAGTCAGCAGGCTGGGCTTAAAGCCAGTCGAAGCTGGGGAAAACCTTTTGGCATCGATTGGTCATGGGGCTAAAAATCCGGAAATGCTACAAATCGGAACCAGCTGCGTTTCGTTAATCGTTTACAGTTTGTCAGCTCTGATTTTATATACCCTTGCCAGGGTTTTATTATTTCAATCAAAAGTTTGCTACGCATTTCCGATGACTTTATCATATAGCTGCCTTAAAAGTGATCGTTAAATGTTGAGGAAACTCATTCTGTCCGCGACCCCTTCACTATTTATATCTCTAGTAATAGTGATTAGTGATTGCTTTTCGACCCAAAAATATCACCTAACCAATGCAATGTATCCACAAAGTCAACAGCCTAACTTAGTTATAAATAATTCATCAAAATTTATTTCTTATCCTTATGATAGTTTCTAAACTAATCCTAACTTTGGCGTCAACTTTTGCTACATTATTATACCATTTCTGGGTATTTCAATTTTAGTCAGAAGCTTCTAACTCATGAAGGAGTCATTTCCGACCCTATAAGTCATATATATTCTTGATCAGAATGAACAGCTGAATTGATCTAGCCATATTTTGTAAAACTTTTTTTTTTCGAAAATTTTTGTTGAAATTTATGACTAAATTTTATATTGTTAAAAGTGCAAAATTTGACAAAATTTAATTTACTTTAATTTTAAAACTAAGTAAGCAGATTTATTAGCTGTATAAAAACTAGCACAGAACAGCTTTCCGAATTGAAATTAATGAATTTTTGG